TTAATGTACTTAAACTCTTTCTCACTTAGAATCCCAATGTCTTTTCCCCTCTCCAAAAAATCATAGAATTCAGATTTTATATCCACTGTTGGATCATGGTCTAATTTAATATAGGTCGTCTGATCATTAAGTTGTCTATAAGCTTCTGTTTCGTATTTCTCTTTGGATTGAATGACGAGGCCTCCGCCCTTATCGGCTGGTTTAATTACTATTGAGGTATCGTCGTATAGCTCTTTTAATATTTTCATTTCTTTCCTGTTCATATTTTGTGTATCTCTTGTATTTTTAGTGTCTAAACACTTTAAAAAACACTTTTTTTTCAAATATATCTAGGGCGCTAGATTTGAAATGTGCAGGATAGAAAGTGGATTTATTCTTTAGTTCACTACTTTTATATTTCGTTGTATTTATATGATCAGAATTATCTTTGTTGACGAAAAAACGTTTTAGAGTCGCATTTCTAACAAATTTACTCACATCTATGTAGGCTAGAAAAGAGTTATATGGTTTCCTAGGGGCAAATTTTAGGCCTCGTTTTAAAATATTTTTTTCTGTTGTACTTAAAACTTTATCTGATAGATTAAAGATACCAGTAGGTGTCTTTTGTGTTTCATGATTTAGAAGCTTTCTAGCCTTCCTTTTTTGTTGTCTTCTGCCTGATCTTCTCCCTCTAGTACTCTCTTGCGGCTTTTTATAGGTGTGATGTTGAGATGATGAATTTGTCTTTCTCTGTTGGAGGGAATCTCTAAAAAAGATGTTTCATCAAATTGATCACAGAAAGACAAAGCGTGATACTTATTGTTTTTGATCAGATCTTGTGATGATGATGGTTTATTCTCATCTTGTTTTTTATACGTTTTTTTGGGATTTTCCCAAGAGTACTTTCTATTTCTTTGTTTCTGTATAGGTGAATCTGGTATAAATGTGTACCTGTGGGTTTTGGGTCTTACAACTAAAGGTGATTCTTGAACTTTGTGATGTGTAGGGTATTTGTGTTTGTCAAATTCTTCAGTTTTTTCGGAATAACGTGAGTTAGGAAATTTTCTCTGAAAATTAGTGTTTTGAAAGTGCGCGTTTTGATGATGTCTAGTGTGAAATCTATCATATCTCGTGTTAAATTTCTCATTCTTTGTATTATACCTTGGGGATCTATCTAGAGATCTTTGACGGTCATTGTGAGGGTGCTTCTTTTCATAAAATTCTTTGCTTTGTAGTCTTTTAGGTCTAAAGGGCTGGTTTGCTTGTGTATTCAAATGATAGTGTGTTGCCCCATTCCTCCATCGATTGAGAATAGTTGGTGTGGTTGGAGGTAGGACACCAACAGCTACTTTAAATTCTGAATTGGAATATTTATCTATACATATAGCAGTATTAAAAGTGTTAAGATAATTACTCTGTGTAATTATTTTTGCTAAATTATATGTAATATACGCTGTTTTTATTATTATGCATTGTTTAGTAAATATACCATGCTTACATGGATTGATTAGTGTGTGTACCTTATGCTCATGTGATGCTGTTAGTTAAGCACTATGTATATATGTAGCATTTTTCCATTGTAACTGTATGCATGATTAAGGCTATGGCTGAAACATTGTAGCAGTGATTGGTGTTTTTCTATGTTATTTGGCTCAGAACAAAGACAACCCTTTAATTGCATTGTCCACCATGCTGTCCTCCAAATTTGTTCTCTTGAAATTCACTTGTGGAGAATTTGCATGTTCTGCTTTTTTCGGCTGAGCACCGGGGAGCGGAATATGAATGCTGAGGCTGTTTGAGGCCATTTCCTGAGTGTACACTTTACTGTGACGTTTAGCCAGCCAGATCTTGGCGTACCCCCTTCCACAAATATAAAAGTGCTCTGCTTGTAAAATACAAATATGATAGACAAAGGTATAAATAAATACTTGTTTCCATTTCTCCAATAGATTTGTGATTTAATTATTACAATGAACATGTGAAGCACAATATATTAGATGCTCTTTTCAATGATTACACGTCAGATTGTTGGAACATTTTAATGATATACTTAGTTATAGAAGACACATAGTGTTCCAAAGCAATGCAATACTTGTCCTGAATTTAACTGGCTGTTATGCAGTTCTAGTGCACAGAAATAGACCTAACAAAGCAGAATTGGAGAGCTGGTAAAGAAAAACTGCAAGCTTTTACCAAAAAAGATGATGTGTAGATACAAAAAATGTAAACTAATAGACTACATTAAGCATTTAATTTAATTATGATTCATGCTTTAGGAATATGTTTTTTACTTTCACTTCCCTGCAATTTCCATCATTAAATAAAGCATTGAAAATCACCTTTAACTTCTGTTGTCCTTTTTAATGAGATACTCAGTTTTCTCTTAAATTTATCCAAGCTACTCCTCACTTACCGACCAGGTTCCGTTCCTGCGACCCAGTCGTAAAACTAATTGGTCAGTAAAGGAGGATGCGCTACACAGTGCAGGTCTATATTCGGGGAAATTTCCCGAGACATAGACAAGCGCAGCAGAGCAGAGAATCCCACAAATTTATGTTTGGCGAACATTCCCCGAACATAGATTAGATCGATTCCTTGCTCTGGTGCGCTTGCCTATGTTCAGGGAAATTTGCCCGAATGTAGACATACGCACCAGAGCAGGGAACATAGACCAGCTCTCTAAAGTGGGGAATCGCTTGAATCACCATGCTAGAAAGCTGGTCGTAAGTGTAAGCCGTTGTAAAACAGGTAGGTCGTAAAATGAGGACCACCTGTATTAAACATTTCAGAAACTACACCATAACCTAGAGGAGAAATAGAAACCTTGATTAATTTCTCCTCTTGTATTCTTTCTCGATGTTGATTGCCAGGTGCAAAAGAAAGATCATTTGACAATGACTGACAGGCAGCCAAGAAGGAAACACCATTTTGAAAGTTAAAGAGTTGTGATTTTCCACATTCAAGTCGTTTTTTTACACCTCACAAAGACATATTTGTATATTATAGGGGAAGTGAACTTAATATTAAAAATCCTGGAAATTGACAATTCCCCTTTAATGCATTCTTTTTTTTTTTTCTTTCTTTTACATATCCACTGGCATAGAATAAAAGATTATCATTTTTTTTCTGTTAGTTACAACTAACCCATTCCTACGTACAAATGGAGAAAAAATAATAATAAATATATATATATATTTAATACTTTTGCTTATAGTAATTTTTACATAATTTGCAATTAAAAAAAAAATAATTAGACTTATGCATGGCAAAAAAAAAAATGTTTTGCAATGGTACTGACGTAGAGACCAAAATTGATACAATATACAATTTAAGGAACAGCGCAGACATAAAAATACAGTTTTACATTTTATAAAGCTACCTAAAATCACCTATCTCAGCAAATAAATATGGGGATTCACTAATACCATGTGGCCATATCGCGTTAAGACCACCACTTCTTTACAGCACCTCCAACAAGATCATTGTGAATATATATATAATGCAAAATTAATGTGATTAAAAAAACAATACAAAAAATGTTATGTCAAAACAAAACAATTAAAGTGATAGTTCTTTGATGTATATACTCATAATGCAAATCCTATATCTGCTCTATAACAAATGAAAATGATAATTAAGGTGGCATTACTATCCAAAACCTTCTCAAATTTATACTTTCCTGTTGTCACCGCCAAAGTAGCATTTGCACAAAATTGCTCATCTACCATCGAGATATCTCCTCCAGACCAGTGGCGGATCTGGAGGGGGGGCAACGGGGCAATTGCCCCCCCCCCGAGATTCCCCCCTGCCGGCTAACGCAGGGCTGGCATTGTTCAAGTGCCAGCCCTGCAATGTGCCTGCGGACCGGGGAGGGAGATCAGAGATCACAGATCTCCCTCCCCGGTCCGCAGGCACTGTGCTGGCAGCCGGCGGGGGAGGGAGGGAGAGAGAGGACCCAGGAGCTCTTACCTGCAGCTCCTCCGGGTCTTCCTCTCGGTTACCACGGCAACACTCCAAATCTCGCGAGAGTGAACTCTAGCCCTGGAGCGTGGGCTAGAGTTCACCTCACCACCACCGGACCACCAGGCATTAAGAAATGTCCCCCCTCCTCCCAGTAAAGGTAAGAAGGGAGGGGGATATAATTAATATTTATTTTATTAAATAAAAAAAAATGAAAAGCCTCCCTACCCTCCTTCCCCCCATACACACACTACACACTGCCCCACAAACACTGCCCCCATACACACACTACACACACTGCCCCACAAACACTGCCCCATAACACACTACACACACTGCCCCCCATACACACACTGCCCCAAACACACACACACTGCAACTCTCACACACACACTGCATGGCTCTCACACACACACACACACTGCAGCTCTCACACACACACTGCCCCACACATACATTGCCCCATAACACACACACTGCAACCCTGACATACACTGCCGCCCTCATGCACTCGCACACACACACTTCACCACTCACACATACACACTGCACCTTTCACACACACTTCACCCCTAACACATACCACTGCTCCTATGCCCTATATCCCAGCAGACCCCAGGTAAGTTGTCAAACTGTTTTTAAATGGTTTGATTACTTACTCTGGGATGGGATCCTGGCACTACGGGCACCATAACTACTACACTGAGCTGTAGTGGTTATTGTGCCTGGATTATTTCTTTAAATAATCTACAAGTGCCCCTCCCGAGATCAGGCTCTGGATCCGCCACTGCTCCAGACCAAAGGAAAGCCATCCTCCTGCCGTGTTATAGTATCTGCATTAATCTATAACTCTGCTTTTGTGAATCTGTGAGTGTGAATCTGAAAATCATTGTTGATCTGTGAGTGTGTGTTAAGCTGTGTGTGAATTTGTGTTTGAATCTGTGAGTCTGAATAGGTTTTGAATATATATGATTGTGTATTAATCTGGGTGTGAGCGTAAATCTGTCTGAATCTGTAAGTGTGTGTGCATCCGTGTGTGCTTCTGTGAATGTTAATATGTGCCTGTGTTAATCGGTGTTTGAATCTGTAAGTCTGAAATATGTGTGTGAAACTGTGATACTAAATCTGTCTGAATTTGCGAGTGTGTGAATCTGTGAGTATGTGTGTATCTGTGAGTAATCTGTAATTTGTGGGAGTGTTAATCTGTGAACAGGCGTGGCCTTAGGCCTTTAGGCGCCCTGTGCGCAAAATTTTCACAGCGCCCCTCCTTTGTCACACCCACTCATCCATGTATAGTGGTATTTAATTCAGATTTTTTGCAGTGTCACATGCAGACAGTCCCATAATAAGATGCACACAATTATACACATATACTGTCAAATATAGCCACATGCACATAGTCCCAGGCACATAGCCACTCGCACCCACACACAGTTACAGTCTTTGAGTCGCACGCAGACAGTCACACACAGTTACAGGCAGACAGTTACACACACATACACAGTTACAGACAGTCACACACACAGTTAGAGGCAGTCACACACACACACACACACACAGAGTTACAGGCAGACAGTCACACACACACAGTTAGAGGCAGTCATACACACACATGCAGTCACACACACACACACACACATAGTTACAGGCAGACAGTCACACGTAGTTACAGGCAGTTATACACACACGCACGTAGAGGCAGACAGTCACACAAACACACACACAGTTACAAGCAGACAGGCAGACACACATTAACAGACAGATACACAGACAGTTACAGGCAGACAGTAACACACACAGTAACAGACACACACACACACACAGTTACAGGCAGACAGTAACACACACAGTATATTTAAAGTTATTTTTTTCTAGTTTTGCTATTTTGGCATAGATTTTTCAGTTCCCTTGCAATTCACCACAATTCAAGGGAATTGTTGTACCATATTGGAAGCAACCAATTTGTTTGAAAAGCTGACTCTGTGGAGAATAGCCATCTGAATAGCAAATTTTTTAAAATGCAAGGGAACTGAAAAATCTATGCCAAAATAGCAAAACTGGAAAAAATATCTAATGCAACAAAGTCATCTATCAATGCTTAGGTAATGTCCTCACCAATTCACCTCAGTTCACTTTTTAGTGAATCAACTTTTTAGTATACTAGCCTTATAGCTCATATACAGGCACTGCACATATTATGGTAGTACACAACTATGATTAATGAAAACAATCTTTGGTCAGGAACCTGCAACCTGTCAGAGCTTTTAATTAGTTGGGGTAGAGGGGGGGTGGGGGATGCGGGGTTGGGGAAGCTCATATTTAAGGAATGCTCCATACTACAAAAAAATAAATAAATTATATTTTAATGCTTGTATTCATTTGAATATATATATATATATATATATATAATTTTTATTTGCTGTTTAGTAATCCCATTGATGCCTATGTGTTTTAGAAAATGTAAAGGTTTAGCAGCCAAGGCAATAAAATGACTAATGCCTTGTCATAAATAGAACAGTTTTAAAGTAAGCAACCTAAGTGAGGATACATCACCAATATGAGAAAATTGTGAATTTTTTTTTTTTTTACAATATTAACAAATATATACACATATAAATACAAAAAAACCCAAACAAGAATCTCTATAAATCCCAAAATGTTAAATAAATTAGCACAAATAGTAGGTATGTGACAAACGATACTTACTCTAGACATTAGCCACAAACTTACAAACTTCTGGAGGAGTGTACAAGCTGGCCTCCTGCCCACCACCAATGGGCCATTTACATTGTGTCAAACTCACTATTTTCCCTTCTGTTCGCAAGACATTTCCCTCCTGGTTTGTGGTATATAGTTTCCCGAACAGAAACAAGTTTTCCCAGTTCGGCAGTTACAATCTACCGAACACCGACCACCCCCTGGCTCATTAACTACAAAGAAACCACAAACTTAAGTGCTCTCCCTGTGAGGCCGCCGTTCATATAACTGAACAACACGTGTTGGAGAAAACAGCAGCCATCTTGTCGCACGAACGCAGGTAGCGGGACCTGATCGTCGAGTGTCTGAAACTATAAGTTGGACACTAGACCTCGCGAACACCGGTAAAATCACAAGAACGCCTGCTTCTTTCAACAACAAGCCAGGAGAGCGCTGTTTGGTAGGATTGTTCACACGAACAAGGCGAACAATCGCTACCTATGAGCCAGGGGAACCATGTGACAGTTTGTTCATATGGAACTCCTGAAAGTGACCGACCGCTACCACTATTTCTCTGGAACTAATTTGGGCAGACACCACGTGTGCAGTCGGTCAAAACTTTACCACGGTGGCAATTCGGCTGTGTTTGTGGGATCTGAGCGCTATTTGGACAACTTGGGCACTCAGATCCAGGATATCTGGGGATATTATATTTGTGGGGATTCCTATATGTGTTGTATGTATTTTTAATAATTTATGTTTTATATTTCGTAACTCTAGTGCCTGGGAGATAATTAGTTTAAGCAAAGTACACAGAGACTCCTGGGTGTGTTGTGGGAGTGTCCTGGGCATGTTGTGGGAGTGGTTTACTATATTACTGCTGGAGACCTCCTGCTGGGGGTCTGTGTATATAAGCTATCATAATAAACCAGTCTTCTTGTGTTTTCATCAAGTCTTGGCTGATATTTGGTTATCTCAGAGCTTTAATCACTGCTTCACTTGGGATTTGGGAAAACTACAGTGTATATCCGCTGTCGGACTATAGATGATCCATTACAGTAGGATATACAGAATTAGTTTTTTACAAGTTACAATAAAGTTCTTAGAAATTAGATTTGTAGATTTAGACAACATTAGATTAGACAGCAGCTTTTTACAAGTGGCATAGGCTCTCGTAGATCTCATCAACAAGCCATGGTTGATAGCCATCTACATTTTAACACAATTATTAATAATAAAAAAAAAAAAATGTATATAGCTCTTTCTGCAAAAGGCTTTTAAGTTTCCAGTTCTAACAGAAATCCATATTGAAGCTAGGAATATCATTGGTGATATTCGAAAGCTTGATCAAATGGTTCATTTTAAAATATAGCTACTGAATCTGATTATTTGACGGTGTTGGGGAGAGAGTTACACAAATACAAATTTCAGTGTTGATACAATCTTGAAACCTCAGTTGTAATTAATTTTCCATTTCCATATGGAAGCTTTTTGTGTATAGAGAACCAAGAGTTCCATCAAGCAGCAGTAAGATGAGTTATATAGACCTTTAAAACCCATCCAACTAAGTTTGTAGCATATTCACCATATTACAAAGTGCTGGATCCACCAGGTACATAGACACAGCATTTTCTGCCAGTTTTAATAATTAATTTAATATGTATTCATTGGCTATAATGCATTGCAGTAGTTCAGCGATAACACATGCATTGATGGGACAGATGGACGAGAATATATTAGTCTAAAATATTATAATCAATTATTATTATTATTCTCTTTGAAATGATAATTTGTTGTGAATGTTGTTACTCCAGTGTTAATATTTTTTACATTTTTAATTGATAAGATATGCAATGCGTGCTATATTTAAATTTTTCATTCTAAATGATGAACTCCAATTTAATAATGCAATTTTTTTTGTCATGAATTAAAATGCTAATTGCCATTACAGTTTTGCACCGCTGACACCATTAGCAGAACGTATACTTGTTATTTTGTATGAGTTGTAAACAAACACAGCTCTGCCCCCAATACATAATTTTTGCAGTCGCTGGTTTGGAAATAATTGGCACTAGGTCAGAGATCCAGGCGGTAGCAAAAAAAAGTCAACAAACGACGTTTGATCAGCTACTCAACCTTTACTGTGCTGTTTTGTCTTTCCTGAATGTCGCACACCTTGCCCTAGTAAAAGGAATGCTTGATTGACCTTGATCTCATGAAGACTGAAAATTTGGCTAGCGAGTCCCTAGTGAGTCTGGGATTTCTGATGCCGTAATGCCAGATGACCTGTTGACACAGCAGACAGTGTTAAGAAACAAGCTTTGCCGAAGGCTGACAAATTACTTTCGCAGTTAGAAATCTAGATTTATATTTTTTATGTTGAAATTTACACACACACACTCACACAAAAGTACTTTTACAGTTACTTTAAATAATTGATTTTATTTTGTAAATATTGATTAGTGACTGGTGCCAAGTTTTATATGCAAGAGATGAATACATATTAAAAAAAAGCACAATTTAAAGTGTTATTCCATGCTGCTTTTGTGATGATGTGTTGATGTTAACGTAAAGACAGACAGGGAGAGGAAGGAAAAGACAAAATCACTCTCTTTGTTTATTCACAATATAGAGAATATTGATAAAATCATGGCATGAAAAATGTTAAGACAAATAATGTCGTTTCTTTGCTGGGACTTAGACCAAGTGCAAGCTTATTCTGCATTTTCACATTTACACTTTTGTATGCAGAAATCTAATTCTGTGAATTTTATCACCTTGTTTTATCACATGCTATATTTTAACACAGGTTTTATCACCCAAGCAACAGCACATTCTATATCGTGGTATGAAAATGAGGGAAACATTGAAATTACAGGCCTTATCTCTGAAAATGGCTGTTAGTGAAAATTGTAAAACTCTGTAAAGTAGTTTAAGCAGGATTTGAATTTATGATAAATTAGAGATGAAGATAGACAAGTGGCAGTTAAGATTCAATGTAGATGTGGATTTTGAGATGAGGGACACGCAAACATATACCTTAGGTGGAGTTGAGATAAGGAATAAAGGTAAATGAGAAGGACTTGTGGATAATTATAAACAACAGGGGAGGCAATCATTTATCAAACAGGGCTATTCACTAAAATGACAATTACTAGAAATTCAAAGTGAATTTCTAAATAGGTCAAAATAGATAAATAAGAATCATTCTCCAAGTTAATTCTGTTTTGAATTTGGCTATTTTGACCTTCACTTTGAAATTCACTATGAATTCTTTGACGTTCTCCTTTTAGTGCGTCATTTTTTAATATATGCCTTTTTCTGACTATGCAATAGATTTATCAATCGTTACGCCACTCTTTCCGACAGAAAAGTGTCCTGTTTCACTTCTCTTTTTCTCCGTCACTCTAAATTTGAAATGGAAATTTCTGTGAAAACTGGCAGAATTTTTAATAAAGAAAATTTTCACTTTTCAGCTAACTTTTAGAACCCTTTAAGAAATATAATCAAAATAATGATGGAATTTAACTGTCACCTTTTTCAGATCCCTTTGATAAATATCCTTCGTTGTATCAGTGAATCCTTTTATACTGGAACTAATATTCTAGGA